AAGCTGTTCCGACAGGCTGCATTCAGAGCTCGAGCTACTGTGGTTGCTCTCTGTGTTTTCCCAGACGGGCAAGCAGCGGTGCGCACACCAACAACAACAAGTTCCGGGCCGCTACAACGCAGGGAATAGTCGTGGTTAGTGCAAACGGTCTGCGCATCATACTCCAGACCTTTTCCAAGTCCCAAGCCTCTACACCGAAAGACCGAAGGACTTTATATTGGGCTTGTAACAGTGTCCGGCATTTTGGGTTGGGGCTTTGAACCACGGCCAGGTTTAGATGCGGAAGCTAAGGTTGGAATTAGGGGCGCCATGGAGTTGAGATGTTCGAGAGACTTCGGAATGGGAAGCTAGGAACTTCGTTCTCGGTGTGTCAGCGCCATCTCCACACGGCAACCCAGGTCGTATCCCAGCGGAGACCTCTGACCGACGAGGAGGCATAGTCCACGGAAGTTTAGATGGTTGAAGTTTCCTTCTTTGGGGCATGCGGGCTTTGGGTCGTTTCAATGCATGTCGCCCCCGACCGATAGGTTCAAAAGGCCAGCAAAAGCGTTGTTAGCTGTGCATCCAGCTGCCGCCCCCTTGCATTCATGCAAAGCTGATGTTTAGTATTAGCACATGCTCTGCCATACACGTGACGCAGCAGTCTTCGTGTGGGATAGGCTGCGGTCAACAGAAGGAACAAATAGAAATAGAAATGTGCAGGGGATTGCAAGGCTTGCGAATACGAAAATCTTCGACGTGCATGATTTCACTCGGAAGCAGTGCTGGCCTGCTGAAGCCCTGGAACGGTATAGCCTGCTTGAACTCGGATCCCCAAGCGTTATCGCTAAACAGGACCCTCTAAGGCCTGTCAGCATAATCCACTAAGGAGGAAGCCCGAAAGCATTGCAAACTCCTTCAGAATATGTAGGAATCGCATGAACCAAGCTGAGAGGAAGCGGTATTCCTCCTCAACGACGTCGACGACGTCGTTTGATGGTCTTCGAGCATCCTCCATAAACTGGAGCACCCTAGACAGCTGCAAAAAGTTACGAGACAGCCTTTCAAGCCTTGCAAGCCAAATTGAAAAGCAGCTGCAACACACATAGACCCCGGAAGCCTCCCGAAGTGATAGGCTGAGGGGACAAGAGTTTCACCACAGGAGCACTCATGCCACTTGGGGCTGAAGAAAGATGCGGTAAGGTCGAGGGCTTTACAGTCACATGCGAGACCCGAGCTCGGGTGAAGGTGCGGCTTCTGGATTGTAGGGCTGCCGGCATGCATACAGCACGCAGTGTTTGTTGCAACTTCCTTTCAGCCGGTGCATCCGGGCTTCGGTGGTCAAGCAACAAACATGCAAATGTTTATCCCATGTGCTTTGACAGCAGCCCCTGGCTCTGAGGCATGACAGCACCTCCCAACTTCCAACAGAATGCGGCCCCCGTGCTCAAAGCCACAATCCCAGAAGCCCCGATACTGGTATTTTGCAGTCGCCATGCGGAGCGCGACACGTGTCGGGGAAGGCCATCAAGTTGACTGGCTTGTCCATTGTGCAACTTCAGCGTGCAGGTTGCAGGGTCCACGATGTCACGATGCGATGCTAAGTCTTCGACCTTCAGTTCTGTGATTTATCTTCGGTTTGACCTGGTGGAACCTACCCTCCACTCTGTACTTGTACGTGGCAACATCGAACGGTGCAATTTCTTCGCATCATATCCAAAAATAGCATGTTTGAAGCTTCTCCATTCCCACAAACACGGAGAGTTGCAGAGATGCCCACTTTTGGGTTAAGTTTAAAGGCGGGCATCCCGACCCAATCTCTAAACGCTGGAAACTGGCACTCGTGATTGCCTACGAACCTCAAAAGTACAAGGTGTTGAAATACAGGGTTGTTGCGGACCAAAGAGGGGAGGTTGCACATGGAGGGTCTGGATTTTTCAGTCTTGTCTATGATCCTATAGTGACTATAGACTATAGTGACTGACGTTTGGTGGGTCGGAGGTGACATTTGCTTGAGAGGAAACTCCTCAGGGTGTTGATATTGTTGCAACCCTTACAAATTCCTCGGTGTTGCTACTGTATTGTGGCGGGTGATTGCAAGGCTTTCTCAACATCATAAAACACCTTTTCAGGGTTTCAGCTCTCCAGAGCTTGAGACGCATGAGGTTGAGTTCTTGGTCACCGTAGCAGTCACTAGCACCTGTCGTTTGGAGTCTAGTTCAGGACCGATGGGCTCTTCATGCAAGAACGAAACCCCTGGTCCCAAGCCTGCGTAAGAACTTCATGCAAACTGCCCTATGCGTAGACGGGTCCAGTGTCCTGACATGTCTTCATGTAGCAGTTCTCAAGGCAACCCGATAGAACCCAATCTTGGAGCCCTGGCTTTTGCGAGCAGGCCAAAGCTTCCGGAGAGAGCGACGGCGGCGCGTCGGAAGGAGGCCTTGGTTTGGAGATTTTGGTGGAATGTCTTTGGCGATGTTGACAGCAAAAAGGTGTCGTGTTTCCGTTTGGCATGCCGCCAGTAGGGCGAAGGGGGAAAGTGGTGGTAAGGTGGTGGTGAATCTTGTATCGTCCCCTTGGCACCTCTTCTGAGCAGAAGTCGTTGTAGTTATTGTACCATGTTCGGGGAGGGTGGCTCTCGACAAGTTGCGTGAGGGTGGTTGTTTTTTAGGCTGTATGAATGGTCCGGGCGCCCGCCCGCCCTTGGAGTTGAGATGTTCCCGAAGCTTGGACCCCCCAAGGCCATGGCGCCAAACTACCTTGCAAAAATCCTTCACAATATTTAAGAATCGCATGCGAAGCAGACAGGAGGCAAAAATCAGTGTGCGACGGTATGTTGAAAGTAGAATCCTACCATTGTTAACTTAGAGCTGGCATGCTCTGTAATCTTTTGTGCAGAAACATGTGTTCTTTAATTTCTTTAAGCATCATGAACCACTAGCATGCTGATGCCGACTCATCTTTGCGAGCGCGGATGCATGCGGCATCCAAATTGAAACCCTCCCCAATAGTCATTGATTCAGTAATACTAAGAGGCTTGTTTAGGGGGTCAATAAGGTGAACAAAGACTCTTACAAGAACTCATCAATGAGGCAGCCCGGTCCCTGTTTAAGAACTGCCCATGCAACAGCAACGCAGGGCCTCCAAAGACATGTTGTTACGATTGAAAAACAGGAAGGGTTGCATCCTCTCTTGTGTTTGCATGCAGGGCGCTGCAAGCAAAACTTTCGACGAATGGCCCGCCATCCTCTGCTTCACTTCCGTAATCAAAACTCGTTGATGCCCTGCTGCTTGTCATATGTGGTTTAGTAGCTACACACGATGGCTTGTGAACCATGCACTCTAGACACAGAGCGAGGAAGGATGCGATGCAATGCAGGGAAGCTTACGCACTGCTATTGCCGGAAGTTTTCAACTAAAGTTGTGTGAGTTTCGAGTCATCAAATCGAGCCGAATGCGTTGCACAAACACACATATATAGACACATGCACGCCTCCATTCAACCATCCATCCATCCATGCATGGACTGCTGTTTGGATGCATGTATGTATTCCTGTACGGTGCAGTAATGCCGAACTTGCTAAGCCTCCAATGCTGACCGGAGACTCTCAGCGAAACATGTTCTATCTAACGACAAGAGAGTCGGCCCTGTGTTTGGTGTAGTCTTGCTTTTTTCTCTCTGTCTCTCTCTCTCTCTCTCTCTCTCTCTCTCGCTCTCTCGCTCTCCCGTTCAGGCGCATGTCCCGTGCATCCTTGCGATTCACCGTTCTGTTGGTTTCTCTACACTTTTGCCAGCTCCACGCCAGGTCGGGTCTTCTGCTGCCATCCGCTCGGTGCACGCGAGAGCCGCATCGTGGGAAAAGACGGCCCGCTTGGGATGCTGACTGCAGTCCTGCGATTACATCATCCACTTTGGCACATCCAAATCGAAGTTCCTGAGCCATCGAACACCACTCACCCATCGAAAGATTGTGATGACTGTAAACCGGAAAGTTTGCATCCTTTATGTTGCTTTTGAATGCAAGGCTCTTCTGCAGCACTTTAGAACTCGTTGGCGCACTGCAGTTCAGGAATTCTGATGTACTGCTCGCAGACGAGAGCATGTTTTCACGAACTAGTTTTCTGATGCTGTCGGCATGGTTGTTTTTCTTTCAGCATCTCGCTTTACTCGTGCTCATTGCCTGTGCACAAGTTCTATAGCTGTACGGATGATGTTTCTGTGTCAGCCAGCGTGTACGAGGCTGTCGCATGTATGAACCAGGTGGTACTCAATGCTGCTAGCCACCAAAACCCAAATCTCTTCAGGGAGGCATCCTCGTGTAGTGTAGATCTGTTCCTTGAGCCCGTCTTTGTCACATTTCATCCCGTCCCTTGCCTTGTTCGGTCGTGGCCAGTCAGTACATGCTGGAGATTACAGGGATGCAGTTCCCATAGTCCGTCCAAAAAGGGTCTGCTTCATGAACCAAACGGACACAAAACCACCTTCTGGGCTCGAATAGCCGAGAGCTATTAGCTCCCAAATGCGGTGCATGGCTGACACAGTGCTTGCCTCGGGGTTTGCTACCGTTTCTTATCGAGTATGTGAGCTGAGTCATCTGCGTGATGAGGGCGGTCGGATAACGGTCGAAGTTGCACTGTTTATCGCAAAGACTATGGTGTTACACAATGGAAGTCGAAATTACTACGGCGTAAATTGGGTTCGAATAAAAAGTTTCAGAAAGCTACAGGACCTGATACAGACCCTACATGATAAACTTGGATCCTTGTGAGAGTTGTGCTGCTTGGTTGGAATACCCGAAGAGCTTCAGCCCCGGGCTATGTTCCACCTTTGGACCGAACGGTCCAGCAGAAAAAGGCTTGGATATCGCCAATCCTAAGCCTGATAAGATATTTGAAACCCAAAACCGTACCTCAGCGCAACCCAATTAAGGCCATACTCCGAACATCTTGTGACCTATTTACTAAACAGCCATCTCACTCAGGTGCTGTGACCCGCCCAACTGTGCCGAAGAGTTGGCCCCATGGGCTGCCATCAGGCGAAGGTCTGCCCGCAAGTTCATCACATCCATTGGCTGCGCTTCCACTGGGACGGGGTTGGCACGCACCCAGACATGACTCTCGCCAGAGGGCGGCCAGCTAGGACTTCAGCTCTAGGTGTGGGGTGTCCTGCCAAGGGGCTCCTTCTTTGCTTGAGCAGGGTCTAGTTCCCTTTGTCTGAAACTCCCATGTATTCAATACAGTATGAACAGCTCAGTTGCAGTGACACCGATGCGAACAGTTGGTATGGTGAGGCTTCGAGCCAAAGTGCGCCGCGTGATGTGGGAGCCTCGAGGGCGTTGGGGGTGGCATCAAAGGTTTGGGCTTTGGATTTTGTGTTTGGTTTAGTAAGTTCAGTATTTAGGGTTTGAGTACTTTGGGGTTTGGGAAGACAGTGCCCTTTGAGGGTTTGGCTCGTGCGGAGTTTGCTTTGCTATCCAGTGCAAGCCTTCAAGAGTTACCGCTCCTTTCTCTTGGCGCTTCTTGCTGCTCAAAGTTCGTGTTGTCCATAGCCCCCGGAAATTCGGCTTGGTTAGCTTTGGCCCGCGGGTTTGCATTGACTGAGAAGGGTCGAGCTTCATGGAGATCGGATTGTCAGGACTTGTGTTCAAGCTTTGGGATTTGCAATTACAGTGGTGGTGGTGGTGGAGGTGGAGGTGGAGGTGGAGGTCGAGGTAGCAGTGGTGTTGCAGCATGTTGCAGCTGTTACAGCTGTGTTGTCGCGTGGTGTGTTGATTGTTGTGGTTGTTGCCTCTGCCGTTGTCCTAACACTTCGGACATCTAACTGCCTCTACACTTCTCATGTGAGACCTTGCCTGGCTTCGGAAGCAGTAACAGGAAGGGTTCTGTTGCAACTGTGGCTCAGGCACCACAGCCTCCAGAAACGCAAAGGATCCAGCGCACAACATAGAGATCTTTCCCAGAAACCGAGGATGGAGGCCACGACCAACAGCGCACCAAAGTCTTGACTATGACTGCCCTTCCAAAGCCTCCTGCTGCTCAGCCCTCTACACTTCTGGGGCGCGTCGGGTTGAGGACGGGCTGGGGGCCGGTTCCTTCACAAGGGTCTGAGACGGCCCAGCAAGAGCCCTTTGTTTGCTGACTTCTCGAAACCCGAAAGGTCGAAACCTCCCCCCCCCGACAGCACACCCCAAGGGTTCGGCTTCACACGTCCGAGTCAGCCGGCCGGCTTGATGAGCTCTCGTACAAGAGCAGAGAACGGACATCTGAACCCGTCGATGCCGTAAAAGGGGCCCCATCCGGAAAACAACAACCGCAACGCAAAAAACAAGCTGGGGTCCTCTTCTTACGAAAATTGAGATTGATAGCGTTTGGAAACTGAAGAATGAATAGGCGAAAGGGGGCTGTACACAGCAGCATCCGAGAGCAGCTAGCAGCTGAAGGAATTAATGAATCATCAGAGTCATCAGCAATGTCGTAATGTTGTTAATTTCTGGCCTTTTTGCCTGATTCGTTTCAGGCTTTTAGATTGCCAAAGCCGAGGGCATGCCTTTGGGTTGTCCGAGAAGCTCGGGCCAACCTCTACGGAACGGGGTTCAGACTTCGCCACAATTGCATCTGCCCCAAAGCCTTATGCGATCACCGGACGAATTCCTCTGTGCGTGCGCCGTATGACACAGCTCGATAAGGTCCATGCAAGTTTCAGCCGCACCTGTCAGGAGCGATCGCAACGAGAAGCAGGCAGTAACTGCATGGCACATCGTGCTTTTGCAGGATCTTCAGAGCATTGAAGGGCGGAATTTGGAGGAGCTCATGTACATCTTTCTAGGAGTTTTGGAGCGCCACCCCTTTGCTTGTGTTCATAGACGCTCTTGAGTTCGGGCACTCGAAGCTGGTGACCGCAGATGAAATGCGACTGGCCCGAAACGCACAAGTTTGCAGCCAACGCTTTGCGGCCACTCGCAAAGAGAACGACACAAAAGTCAGAAAGCAAATGCACCAGATCTTGAAGGTTCGCTTTTGACATTGGATGGGTATGCAAGTACTGCCTTCACTTGAGGAGCTTCCGAGGGATTCTCAAACAGCCCTTATGCCTTGCAATTGCACATAACGGGCCTCTCAACCACTCGAAGTACTGCAGCTGCATGTGCTGTCAATGGACAAGTACTAGTAGCCGCCCGAAAAACCTTTGTTTGCACAAGACTTCGTCTCGAATGTCTCGAGAGGCCGACAGAACACCCCTCAAAATCCATTGAAACTCACGCCAGTAATTTCAAGCCCCTAGAAGTTCAAGCTGGATCAACCCCTGCTCCTCTTGACCCTGAAGCCCAAAAAGCTCTTTGAAGAGACCTATCTTACAGGCCAACACACAGGGCGAGAAGCCGACGAGCAAGTTTCGCCGCCCACGCACCAGAGAGTGCGAGGAGGACAGGGCTGCTACGTTTCTTTGGAAGAGGGGGCGATAATTCGGGTTTGATTAGGCCCACGCGGGGGGAAATTGATTGTTGAGAAATCTTGTTCCAAAGTTTCCGACTGCGTAAGGGGTTCACCCTTTGTCCTAGGTCCTAGGTTCCAGAGCATTTCAGGGCATCAGGATTCAGGACGGTCGGCTTCTTCTGTCTACACCTGTGCCCTCCCGCACCGAAATCGAACCCGAACAAAGCTTGAAGCGGAACCCGCAGCCCAGAACCCCTTCGGACCACAAAATCCTCAAGCCTCATCCACTGCCCCCACAGCTCTGACCTTAAAGCCTCAAAATGCCACCATCTTGGACCCAAGACATACCCAGGGAAGCCGTGATCTTAAGAATCCCGCGTTTGAGAGCACGAGGCTGTGACTTTTCTGTGCCCTGCTGACTTGGGGTCCCCGGCTTCTTCCGTAAGATCTAGGTTTCTAAGTAACTAAGCCCACCGATGGCCAAGCAGATAACCTCCAGGCTACATCTTTGTATGCAAGCCTTGCCAACCCATGCTTGCAATCAACCCTAAACTCTAAGACCCTAAAGCCCTAAACCCTACAACCCCAAACCCTAAAACCCTAAAACCCTAAGCCGTGTCTCCTAAATCCTGCAGGCGGAGCTGCAAGTCTTGGCTAAGTCGGTCGGGGAGCAGCTCCCGGCAGGCCTGGAAGGATGAAGGGCTTGAGGGCTTACTGTAACGGTTTAGGGCTTTGGGGGTTTTAGGGTTTAGAGATGTTTAGGGCTTAAGTTAGGGATGCGAGGACTTCGGTGTAGCCGTCATAGGCAGGCTGCTGTTTGCGTCCAGGTCCGCGCATCTGCATCCTGGGCAGCACGGCATCAGGGCAGCAAGATCCCTCTCAGTCGTGCTTGGTCATTCTTAGTATTCCCTCTGGCATGACCCCAAAGGCAGTGGTGTAGGGTTTTTTTTGGTTTCTGACCCGGCAGCTATGCCCGACATCTTGCACGATGAACCCTAAGCCTGCTTGAATAAATAGCGCGTCGTCTTAAGCCCGTTAAAACGGTGACTTGCGACCTCACAGAGCAGGCCAAGCAGTTTTTTCAAAGATATTCGAAGCAGCCTGCACTGTGTCGTTGTCTTAAGTTGCTGGGCATGCTGGACAATATGCCACAGCACCTTAGCTCTAGCGGGCTAGAAGCTAGAGGTCATTCGAGACGATACGGGAGCATGCCCATGCTTTGTCACGGATCTTTTGCGATGTTGGGGTTCTCATCCCTGCAGAACCTTGTTGTAATACTACACCCCTTGCTTCCTTGTCCACACCAGTGAATGCAGGGCAGCAGGAAGTGCCAAATTCGGAGCACAGAGCTGCAAATGTGAACCCCTTCAGCAACAAGTTGCCGTCAACGGCCTCCAAGCCCTGAAGTTGTAAAGCGTGTTATTTGCTACTTGTACCTCGACACTCCATTGATCTAAACCCTCAGACCGAATTCGGAGTTTCAAGCATAGCCAAAGCCCTTAACGGCCGTCTCCACCGCATTTCTGACACCTGCAGTTTCTTCAAGCGCCGGTCGCTCTACAGGGGAAACGGCGCCCGGGTCGTCAGTCTAAACCCCAAGCACCGAGACCCCGCAGCCCACACCCCGATACTAAAACACCCGCAAGCCCTAACCCCTAAATCCTGAGACGAAGAAGCAGGAAGAGCCCCACGGCCTGTTTCCTTCGCGTTGGACAAAGATACTACAACATAACACAGTTACTACAAAATAGCGCCCCAACCCAGCTACACCCCAAAAAGTCCAGGCTTTTTGGAAGGAGAGCACCGAGCCTTTGGTGAAAGCTCTGGCTCGAAGGCATGGCATTGGGACTGAGGTTTAAGTTTGAGACTTGCATGGCGGCGTAACATGCTGTAGGGTTTTACGGTCTGAATCTAGGAGTGTTTATGGCTTAGGGCAGAAGGTTTTTGCTTGAAGTTGGGGCGATTGAGGTTCAGCGTTTGAGGTTTGGGGTTTCAGCTTTCTGCACTTTCAGCTTCAGGGTTTAAGGTCTGGTGCCAGCCTACGGCTTTGAGGTTCCCAAGGATTTAGGGTTCGCAGCTCAAGGTTTATGCCGTTTGCGTCTGCTTTCCGTTTAAGTACTTCGGGGCAGGGAGTCTTCGTCTTAGGGCCTACTTGCTTTTATCGCTAACGCGAGGCCGCCTCGGCAGCGGTAGTCGAGGCTAGGAGCGGGAGCGAAGCCGCGCCGCGCAGCCATTCCCCCCCCCCACCCCCCCCACCCCCCCCTCCCTCCCCCCCTCTCAGCGAAATTGGAGCCGACTGGCACGCCCGCCCCCCAAATCACGCCATTGGGAGGGTAGGGGTGGGTTACTGCTCTACTATAACCACCCAAACTCCTCGAACCCCCGGATCTAAACGCCTGGGGCCTCCGGCCTCGGCGGATTCTCTATAAGTCGTGCGCTTTCGGCTCCCAAGCCTGATCATACAACTGTGAGCATGACTTTCTCATGCTTTAGTCGCAACAAGATCGGGCTTGAGACTTGAGACTGGGGTTCGTTTAGGATTCGTAGAGGTTGCTGCGTCTTGGTCTCGGGCGCTCATTCAGGAGCCCTAGATCCCAGCTCCAAGCGCGACTCTTTCTTGCATAGTCGACCCGACAGCCCAAGTTTCGAACCGAAACACGATGTCCATACGATACCTGCTGGTCCTGGTCCTGGTCCTCTGGCCCTGGTCCTGGTCCTGGGTGGTGGACGTGGTGGGGGGTGGTAGACATAGACGTAGACATAGCAGCAGCAGTATTAGCAGTAGCAATAGCAGCAGCAGTAGCACAAGCACTAGCAGTAGTAGTAGCAGCAGCAGCAGCAGGAGTAGTAGTAGTAGTAGTAGTAGTAGTAGTAGTGGTAGTAGTAGTAGTAGCAGCAGCAGCAGCAGCAGTAGTAGTAGTAGCAGTAGGGAGCAGGAGCCGGAGCGGGAGCGGTAGCGGTAGGGAAGCAGTCTGGTTGTAGTACGCCATAGTGTATTCCTCCTACTGCTGCTGTATTGCTGCTGCTGCTGCTGCTGCTGCTGCTGCTGCTACTGCTACACCGTGGTTGACGAGTAGGACTTTTGAGCTAATTCTGGGAGACACGCGGGGCAGAAGCAGCAGCCTGGGTAGTCCGAGTCCAAGGAGAAATAGTTTGGCTGTTTCCAGGCTTAGCCTCAGCCTCCGGGACAGCAATGCCGTCGTCCTCACCGGCGGTATGCCTGGGGTTCAGGCGCATGGGTTCGAAGCTGTACATTTAAAGCAAAAGCAAAACAGAATCTGGTACACTACGCAGATTGACAACAGTAGAAATTACAGGTACATGTCTGATTCTTGGAAACAGGTCTGAAGGTTGCTGCAACATTGGTTATTGAGGTTTATTTGTCGGCATCAGAGGTCCCTTCTCAAAAGCAGGCCCGGGCGCAGGAGATCTTAAGCGATTGAAGCGTTAAGTGCCATGGCTGCTCTAGATAATTGAGATGTCCCGACACTGTCACCAAAGTATGCAGTTCATGTTTGCTGACACTGCCATCCCCTCATAAGATTCCTTTTGGACCCTGGGTGTTGATTCCGGGATTCCGGGCCCTACAGACTTCGCAAACCTAGCTCATGGGCGTGCGAAGGAGGTCCTCGCCAAGGGCCTCCAGAACGGCGGCTTCCAGAGAGTGGTGCCCCTTGCCTCGATCCATCTCGGGAGTGAAGTCGTCGAAACCCACAGCTCAGCCACGATGTGCCAAGACTGGCGGTGGAGGTCTGAGGCTGCGAAAGGCTTCAGGGGTACCGAAGGCTTCCTAGCAGCCTGTGAACCGCCCGGTCTGAGAGCTTTCCGCCCCCAAATTTTGCTTGCCCAGGCACTACCACAAAATCGACAGAATATCCACCTCACCAAGGAACTTGGTTCACCTGGGACATGAAAGCGGCTGCCCATTTGCAGTTTCAGTGCTTCCAGAGCCGGCAGTGTGGGTGTGATGTTTGGCAACTTAGTGCCAGGCGACTAATTTACAGGTGAGGGCGTGGCGGCACAGTGCCTACAAGATGCTTCGTGTTCGTCCAGGGTTGAATGTTGGAGCACTCATACTTGGATTTGGAGGTTAGCTCACAGGGAAAGTTGCGACCGTTGTTTTTGGTGGTGATGATAATGATGACTTTTTGCTATTCTTGCAGGTATTTGGAGTTGGTGTTTTACTGTTTGTGGAGATGAGCACAGCTATCAGCTGACACTGGAAACGCTTGTCAAACGGTCGAAGACTGTCGACGTTTACGTCGTGTCCAAACTGGAGAACCGTGCGAAGCATCAAGAGGGACGCATGAACTGGACCTGGACCTATGCTCTCAAGACAAATCGTTCCCAGAGGGATAATTTTGGCTTTCGTCTTTGTTGGAACAGAAGCCCCACGTTCGCCCGTGCACCCGCCTGCTTCAAAAGCACCAAAACGCCGGGTCCGCAAAGACCCAAAAATCAACTGTGCTCAGGGCACAGACTAGGACCCTGCTAGGACCTGTAAGCCTCCTTTCAATGTGCGGCTCTGTTGAGGTTTCTGTGCAGGTGAGGACTTGGCCGCTGGACTGGACGCTGTGGAACGCCGGAAAGTTTTCGCAAGCCTGGGCAGTCCGACCGATTTACGATTGCTTGCACCAGGGCGTTCGGACCACGATTCACGAAGCTGCTGAGTACGGCTTAAGTGTTGAAGGCCTGAGCGACCTGCCCACAGCCATGCATGCCGGAGGCCTCAAGGTGCGGACTGTTCGTTGCTTTACGTGTTTGAGTGCTCAGGTGATGTTTATCTCTGCATCGAGGGAGGCGCTGGCGTAGCAGAGGAGGCGCAGGCAGCCTTCGACAACGGCACTTCGATGGCAAAGAAGTTCAAGAGCACACTCAATGGTAGCTTACACTTACGTTTCAGACTTTGGGAGTTCAGTGGGTTGGGGTTTCGTGCGGCCTTTCACGGTTTACAAACTGAGCGCTTTGAGCTAAAGGGCTCATGTGTAGCGTTCCGCCTCGGGGCGTCATGGAGCTTCGTTTGTGATGCTAACTTTGTGGAAGTCAGAATCAGACGCAGCATTCGGGCTTGATGCTTTCGGATCTCAGGCTAGCTTCATGTGAGGTCTATTAGGTCATTGGGTGACTTCTTCTTGGCTTTCAGTGTTTGCGACTTTCGGTTTGAGGTGGGCAGTTCCGGGGAGATTGTACTTATCCCGGACCCTGGTCGCAGCCAAAGACTCTGACATCGGCGTTTTGGCATTGCGGGGGAAAAATGGTTCGGGATCTAAGCAAGGGCCGGGGGGGGGAGGTGGGGGGATCAACGCATGGAGTGGCTGCGGCTGCGAGTGGGGGCTTGGCTTGCCCGGTTATCACAGATCCATTGTGAGACGACTGGAATCACTGGTTTTTGGGGGATATCTTGGATTGAAGTTGTGAAAGTAAGAGGAGATGCCTTTGACAGTCTAAATTGGCCACCCCCACCACTACTACAGTAGTCCGTGTCTGCAAATTTGTGTGTGCTCATTGTCGCTTACGGTAAGTATGAGGCTGACGGAATGGAAAGCAGCCACACAGGAATCGAAAGCTGCCACAAAACCACAGACACCCGATGGCACCAATTTGTAGCATCAATTCATGTTCGATGACAAACTGTTCCACGAATCAAGCATCAAGATCGACACCCTCTGTCGTGTGTCTTGTCTTAGACTGACCCACATCATGCTCACAAGCCTGTCTTCTGCAACCACACTCTTCCATTGACCTCAGCGAAGGATCCTTGACTGGCTCTACTTTCTGCTGTCGCATGGATTGGGGGTTTTGTGTCGGAATCCGGCTGCTGTCAGACTGCACTGAGCTCCTAGTATGCTGACCGCCATGCCCTCCCGTTCTAAGGCGCCTTCATCTTGCCGATACCCTCCACCGGCGGCGCTTCTGGCGGAGCCTTTGACTTTCCGAAGGCCCGGGTCCTTCCGAAGGGGATGCTTGGGGGGTTCTTGTTCTTTTTGGAGGATACAGGTCAGGCACTGAAATCAGTTTCAGTTCATTGCTGCTTGGGGGTTGAAGCATGCAGAATGGGATGTATGGGCCTTCAAACTCAAAGCTTCAAGCCCCACTCGCTGAGAAGATTCAAGAGTTTGGGGACACCCGGGATTAACTATCAAGCGCTTCAGTTTGGGTCGAATGCGAGCTTTCACAAAGAAAAATTGAAACGCCTCATAGCGAAAGCATCAGTCGCTGAGCTGCATAAATTGACCTTTTACCCCTTGAAAGACCGAGTATCATAGCCCAAGATAGCCGGCATCATTACAGTTTTCTTTATGATTGTCGTCACGGAAGGCACATGGCAGTATTCGGATGATCATTGGTACCTTGACAGCTCTCCGAAGAAAGTTGCGTAGCGACAACCAATCGGCAACACAACTGGCGTTGGAAGCAGCCGCAGCAGCAGCGGCGGCAGCAAGCAATGCCATGATCAGCACCTTCCATCATCGTCGTCGCCGTCATTATCATCGTGTTCATCCTCACCACCCTCATCATCAGCCTCATCCTCTTCGTCTTCATAATCATGAACAATCATCTCACCATCTCGCTACCACCTTCACCTTCACAATCGCCATCTTTAGTGTCAGCTCCTTCAGGCGGCTTTGCAGAGACCGAGGCGCAGTGATTCTACTGCCTCAGGGATCCGCAGGGCTTTGGACTTAAGTGAGGGATAAAGGTTAAGGTTCCTTGGGATTTCGCTGGGTTCAGGTATCGGATTGCGGCTGATGGGTCTTACGAGCACGGTGTTGAGCTTTGGGTTGTCAACGGCTTGCGAGGCCCATGGCAGAGGGTTCCGCCCTTTTTGGTGTGCTCGTGCATGGGTGCAATGTTCTAGCTGCTTATCTATATGTTCGTAGGCTTCAGCTGCTCTTGCGTACATGCCTGCACACACGAAAGAAATATGCGCATATCTATCTTCGCATGACATCATTATAACTTGTTCTAGTATGCTTGTATCAATATGATGATGATGGTAATGTGAAGCTGGATCTGTTGCAGCTGCAGGCTGTCATGTCAAGAACTGTTGCCAGGGGACCTTGCAATATGGGGCTTGAGCGCTGCGTGGATGAGAGTTGACGTATACATGTCTTGCGTACGTTTTGTGACCATTATCCCTCCGAGGGGGGCTTTTGCAAGCAGCCTTGTTCGAGCCTAAAGCCTGGACTGGGAAAAGGCCTCAAGCCCGAAGCGCTCAACTCGTCGCAAGTTCCATGCAGGCATGTATCACCAGAAGAGTGGACCATGTTGGAGACCGACGGCCACCCAGAAGAGGCGGCAACTGCCATTGCGCGCACCTCAGCCGAGGGTTCTTGGTCGGGTTTGGGGCTTTTCGGGTTTTGGGCCGGGGCTGCGAGGTTTGCAGGCTCTGTGAACTTGCGCTCATGACACTGCAACGGCTTTTCGAGCGGGAGGGTGTTGCTTCGGGCCCAAGGGCACAGTTTCTCATTGCCAACATTGACAGGCTGGGCATGGACAGCTCGAGCATTGAGCCGACAAGCGGAGTTTTCGAGCGTAGATTCGGCTTGATGCTTTATACCAACCAGGTCAGTGAGGCGTGAACCTTGGGAAGAAGCATAGAATGAAACCTGCGGCTGCCCCTGAGGCCATCATGCTCTGCAAACACGGCCCAATGTCAAGGCTCTGCCATCCGAGCCCCTAAACTCTAAACTCGACCACCAGGCAACTCGACCTGTCTGTTCAATGTATGCATCTGTCTGTACATCCATATGATTTTACGTACGTACGTACATATGTACGTACATCTGTATGTATGTATGTATGTAGGTAGGTATGTATGTATGTATGTCTTTGTGCGTGTGTGTGTGTGTACATACACATACGCATCTGCATATGCATATGCATATACATATACATATATATATATGTATATATGTATATGTATATATATACACAGATGTATAGATGTATTGCTGCATATTCAGACATACATACATACATACATACACACATACATATTAGATACATGCACATGTATACGCATTTATTCAAAACAGCTTTGAGATCCCGAACGTCCCAAATCACGAAGCTCCGAGCCGCACGCAGCAGTAAACAGTGAGGTTAGGATCCTTTGCCGCTACTTGCAGGCAGAGGCCGGGTAGACGTGCTTCTGCAAGTCACAAGTGATGATGTCAGTGTAATATATAGGGGCCTCAGTAATTACCTATATTTTTTGGGGGTTCCTTATTATAACTACAGAAAGCGTCGCCCTGAGGGCCC